CATAAAATAGCAACAACCACAAAAGTGCTGTGGAGCATATGTAAATTATGCATATGTACGTGGTTTACATACATACATATGTATGTACATAATACATATGTATGCATCTCAACATTTTTGGCAAATTGCTTTCGAGCATTCGTCCTATTGTCTTTGGAGAGTAATTTTTCAGCCCAAATAGCAATTAAAATATCGCATTCTCCATTTCCATATAAATAAGAGGACATTTTCAGAAAATTCTACGAATGCTTCTAAATTACGAGAGCAATTAAAGTTGTTATAAATGGCTGAATAAATCAATGTGTAGTTGCCATTTGTTTATCGACGTAAAATAAATCAGGATAACTAACTAATCCCTTATATGTATATACGGAAAATAGGGCGCATGTATGAATAAACATTAATATTATGTAGTTTTAAGCGCTTACGATTCTTAGGAGTTTTATAATATATTGTATGTATAGACTGTGGGAGAAAAAATATTAAAATCAATCAGAAACTATAAACGTCAACAACAGCGAAGCGCCTTTGAGGGCCTGAAACCGGGCCTTGCGGAAAGGGTAGCGCGCACTGCTAACCACTTACACCAAAGCAGCTGCACATATATACTTGGTAAAAAAAATGTCAGTTGGTAAAGTGGGAAAAATTTATCTATTAAAAACTGGTCGCAACGAACATACATATATACCTCTATAAAATGTGGTTCGATTTTCGATTCGGATCAAACATTTGTGGGAAATTTAGGTTCGCTTAATTGTGTAGTAGAAAAAAGCGGCTAATCCGGTTCACGTTCGTGGTAATTTTATTGAAATCCCATTTATAAAATAGCACTTACACACCAATTTGGTTAAAATTTTTGTGAATTTCATATGAGGCAGCCTTTACGTGGCACAAAATAAAGACATCCACGAAAATTTGAAAATTTTTAACAAATTTTTAGAGGGTTTGAACAAATTTCAATTAAAAAAAAACTTGAGTTGAAACTATTGAGATTAATTCCTAAACTCGCTGAGTTATAACTGGGAAAAGTCAAGTTTCTGTCGAACTTTTGTGATTTAAAAACAAAAATTAAATTTTTACAAACACTGGAAGCGATGCCTATTTTTTATTTTTAATTTTGAAATCTTCGTGGATGTCTTTATTTTGTACTGAGAACAAACTAAATGGGTGCCCCATAGTGTTGATATTTTAAGCGCAAATATATTCTTTGGTTTATATCAAGAAGTAACATCATTTCTTTATCCTAAACTAATAAAGTTTGTAAGACGAAATTCGACGATTTGGTATGGTAAGGTGAATAGAAAAGAAAATTAAGCGTTACGAATTTAAACTTCCGTAGATTGGCGAAAACTTTAAGCAACAAGAAAATTTAAAATTCTGCAGCGAGAGGTACTATGTATGAAGTGTGCCGGAAATATGTACCACATTTTACAGTTTGGCAATAAAAGCGACCACAAAATAATAGCAATTGGCATAA